TTTGCGAATAGACCCCTGTAGTATTGGCCCAGGTGTGAATACACCCCCTTAGTGAATTTTTTTGTAAGTATTAAAAAAAGAGCAATTGAGGGTCTATCGTCACCAATAGAACTATTGGGGATCTACCCGCCTCTTCAAACCTTTTTAATGATTTTAAGAGTTAAAAAAATCACTTAGGAGTTAGGGGTCTGTTTGCAAAATAGAACTACAAGGGGTCTGTTTGCAATTGGGTAATACTACAGGGGTCTGTTTGCAATTAACCCATCCTTATATTATCTTTCTCGTAAAAGAATGAGACTTTTATCGTGCAAAGAACTTCACATGCACCCATTTCAAATCTGTATGGTCTAGTATGGCTAATTTCTTTTGAGCTCATCCGGTGTTTATTAATATGCGGATTCTGCCAAGGGATGAGGTTAACATTTAACGTTGTAGGATTCTTAATTTCAGTGACCCTGCTCAAGTCCTGCTGTACCCATTTTTCCCTGTTCACGCAGGAAGTATTCTTGAATTTCAAGGTAGGAGCGTAGGTTATTTTATTTCATCAGTATCTTTGATTTAGTATCTGAAAGAAGATTCGGGTGAAGCTTTTCTAGTCTTCTTATGTTTCTATTTGGCTATTCACATTACACTATCATATGCTGAGTGCTGGTAGTTTTCTTTTTTAACATGGTAGCTTAAGATTTAGTAGATTATTTCTTTGCTAATTCTCTTCTATTTGAAAATGAATATTTTTAATGTGAAGAATTAAATGGATTCCCATCATTCTACTCTATTTATTCATTAAAAACGACTAATTTCACCTGACTGCTTATCAATCTCGTTTTTGTGATCACTGGTTCACTGATAATTTGATTTATCTCTCATGTGTAGTACCTCTTAGGTGATTTTAACGAAAGGGCGTGCCTTCTATTGTGATATGATGTTCAAAGTTAGGTGTTGTTCTTCTGTTGTTGACTAGGTCTATCAGTAATTTTGTTTTCCTTTCTTTCCATGTCTCTTGGAATTTGAGTTTTCAGGAACAAGTTTTAAAGTTGTCTGGAAAACAATCTTGACTTTGTATGATCAATTGCTCTTGTTGGATTGATTTACAGAAGTATTTAATCAGCTGAACATTTTATGATTTAACTCAGGCACTCAGCAATTTGGCCATATATCTGTTTAAGAATGTGAGCTGACAACTGTTATTACTAATCACTAGACTAGTGACTGATTTGGAGCTAATTAGTCCCTTTCTTTGCTCTGGGGATGCTACATTTTCAGTTCTTCAACCTATTTTTGTTCTGGGATAACTCCCTCTCTCTACCTTATCAAAATGTGGTACGAAAATAGGTGATGTCAGCTCGATAGTACATAACGGAGAAGTTAGGTCTTTGTTCCATTATAGTATTATGCATATTATGTGAGGCATTCACACTGGAATTAGTCAGTGTTAGCTACTTTTTTGGCTTACTTTTTTAGTTGTTACATAATCACTTCTTTTGTTGGCTTCCTGTGTAGTTAACTTGACCAATTATATTGTGTTCCAGATCCCTTTCATGAGGTCAAAAGGAAGCGGGAGAAGAAAAAAGAGGTAAGCCTTTTCTATTACTCTCTTATCTCCATACTTTATTATTTTGTTGTTCGTCCTGTGATTTTTGCTGATTAAAATAGAGAGACACTTAAAGAAAAATCACTTTAAGATTGTGTCAGTAACATTATGTTGAAACACCATGGCCTTCACCGTAGTCTATTTCGAATGCGAAGCATTCTTTTTCTTTAAATTTTAAGTATTGATGATACATTGTGGTATATAACTATATTTTATACCTTTACATGTCATTAAATTCATAGCTATTGTTTTTTATACTTGAAGTTAGTCTATTGCATCTAGATGTCATTTAAGGTTTGAACTGACACTTAATTTGCCTATGTCTTTTAGAATACATTTTCTCCTGTTTCTATTTCTTTTGAACTTAAGCTTGAAGAACAGAGTGGAGTGCAGCTTAGCTAGGTTCATTAAGGTTAGTTAAGTACTTTAGAAGGAATGACAAGAATGAGAAGTGAGGCTGGAGCAATATGGATAATGTGGTAGATTAGTTTTGCAGCATGCCCAATTAGTGCAAGTTTTTTATTTATTTTTCTTTAATTTTAAGAAATTGCAATAATGGATGCTTTCACGTGATTGCTTATATCAGACAACAAATTAGAGGAAGCATTTAGCATAAAATGTCCATTAAGCAAAGCAGTCACTCAAAAGAAGGTATGGAAAACCCATAGATCTGTGCAAGTTCACATTAATTAACTTTTTTCGAGTGTTCAGATGTTTTTGCTTGTACATAAGCATAATTATTAGGGAGGAGAGCAGGAAGACGAACATGGAAAATGTTGATGAAAGTATTGGCTTTCAGACTTGTTTCATGTTAGGGCCTGTTTGTTTGCACGGAAGTAACCGTGAAATAGCAGAAGTAGAGGAAGTAGATGCTACTTCTGCTATTTCTAGACAAAAATGTATGTTTGTTTCTCTTGAAAATCTACTTCCGCTACTTCCTTAAATGATGATGTGGTGTCTTTGTGGCATCTCCATTTCCTAGATTCTTTTCCACCCCTCAAGACTCTGAAATAGGACTGAAGTAGATAAAAGAATACTTGCGGGCTCCATGTGAAGATTTGTAACATGCGTGAAATTAGGGATCTAATAACTACTCCTCTATCTCGATATGCAATCTCTCGGCACTATGAAAAAGTTGCAGGTCAATTTTAGATTCAAGGTCTTCATAATCCAATCCCATGGACCCCTCTTTTTTACATGTGAACATGAGCTGCGTATAAATACAAATCATGACAAGAAATTGGTTTTGTTTTGTATATCCCAACAATTTTTGAGCTAATTTTTTAGTTCCCATTTCTATATGATTGATCAGATATTCTAATATGGTTCTTGATATGTGTGCACAGATTTTTTTTTCTTGTAGAATAATTTGAGATACATCAACAAGTTTAGTATTATTCTCAGGTTTTTTCTATATAGTATAATTTGAGATGATAAACTTTATAATTTTAGAAGTTACTTCTTAGATCTACCTCTTATTCTAATACTTCCAACTATCCAAATGAGCCTTAAAATGAAAGCAACATGTATTAATTACTTCATAGTAATATTTTCAAATATTATCCAAACAAAAAAAGTAAATGAAGAGGAAGAAGTTCTACTTCTATTACTTCTAAAAATATATGAAACAAACAAAAAATGCTATTTCTGCTATTTCCTATTTCATAGTTTTAAAAGTTAATTCTGTAACCTACTTCTTACTGCTAATACTTTCATTATCCAAACGGACCCTTAGTGGAATCTTTTTTTATACATTTTCTATTTGGATGCTGGATGGTGTTTTTTACTGTATCCTGATGACTCGTCTCCTTAGGACCTTGCTTATTTCATGAACTCTTTTATGGCATTAAGAATTTCAAATGTTTCAAGAATGAAAATATCTGAGAATCTGTTGTACATATGATATGCCATAGCTGTTTCATCAGTACACTGTTCAAACAACTACATCAATACATGATGTTTTGGGCATCATCATTTTGGGCCTATGTGCTTGTGCATCATTTTGGGCCTATGCGCTTGTGTTATGGGGATAACCTGTATCATGAGGTTTGTGCAGGCTATGCACCCCGATTACACGAGCACAAAAAGCATTTCATTTCCCCCTCTTTTTTTGGACCCAATTCCCACTTGATATGAAACCTCATTTTTGAAAACTAGTATAATGCACGTGCTTTGCACGTGGACATTGTTTGTATTTAATATTATATTATTTAATAAATTATATATAACATTTTATAAAGTTATTTTATTACACTATGATTAAAAATTTTAAGTTAATACTATTATTAGTACTTAAACTATTATTAGCATACATTTAATAGTTATTTAAATTTGCTTATTATTATGTTATTAAACAGTTTATTTAAGAGTATAAATATTAAATAATAATGTAATCATTAGTTTAAGTACACTATTGAAATAATTAAATTATTTATATTATTAAATATTTATGTTATGTACATATTTTATTGCAATATCTATTAAATAATTATTTTTAATTTATAACATCCAAATTTTTATTACTAAGATGATATTAATTATCAAACAATGTAATATTCTTTATAACATAAAGAAATAACCCTATTTATACTATTATTAATAATTATAATTATGTATAATAATTTATTAAATAAATAATTTAACTATTTCATTGCAATTAATAATTCTTTATAATGAATTATAATATATTTATTAATTTTATTATCATTATAAATTATTAATCTATTCTAGTGAATGATTAAATATTCGGGAAAAAATAAGAGAAAAGTATACGTCTCATAAATTTCAAGGATACAAACATTTTTATATAAATTAATTTTCCAAAATAAAAATATTTTTGATTTATAAAGTCTAAATTTTTATTACTAAGACGATATTAATTATCGAACAAGGTAATATTCTTTACAACATAAAGAAATAACCCCTATTTAAACTATTATTGATAATTATAATTATGCACAATAATGTATTAAATAAATAATTCTTCTATTTTATTATAATTAATAATTATTTATAATAAATTATCATACATTTATGAATAATATATTAAATAAATAATTTTCACTATTGTATATAATTAATAATTATTTATAATAATTTATCATATATTTATGAATTTTATTATTATTATAAATTATTAATATATTGTAGTGAACAACCAAATAATTTGAGAAATTAAAGAGGTGCATAGTTAATGAGAGGTTATGAATCATTAGCTTTATAAATAATGATATAATTATGAGTTATAAAAAAATTGAGGATGAAAAAGGAAATCTAAAGTTTTGATGTGTTTTCTTTTTTATAAGTAGTATAGATAAGTAGTTAACCTTCTATTTCCAAACGTGTGCCAGTTCCCGTTTTGATCTTTAATTGCTATGGATATGAGCCTCAGGGCAGTGATGCTTTGTGTTGAATCTATAGTTCTTTTTTATGTTGATAGTAGTGGCTTGGCTTTGACAGAGTTCCAGAGGTGGGGATGGTTTTTTCTGTTTCTTTTTTTTGGGGGTTGGCGGGGGGGGGTTGAGGGTGAATTTTATAGTGACTGTGGGCAGCTAATGTTTTCTGTTTGTTTGTTTTTTTTTGACTGAGGCAACAACTCTTTTTCTGTGTTGAGTCTGGCTGACTGTGATTCCTGTGGGGGGGGGCGGCGGTTTGAGGGGCTGAACTTTTTTATAATGACTGTGGGCAGCTAATGTTTTCTGTTTTTTTTTTGACTGAGCAACAACTCTTTTTCTGTGTTGAGTCTGCTGACTGTGATTCCTGTACATTTTTAATTTCATCTTTATTGAGTCGATGGAGAACCCTTTTAGCTGTTGTTCCTTGATGCCATGGTGAGAGCAATTAAGAAATTGACCCATTGGTTTTTTGGGCTCAAGAGACTGATTGGGTATAAGTTCTTAGGACACTCAATCATAACAATAATTTTATTTTATTTTTATGAAATCTTTGTGTGTGTGCGCGCGCGTGTGAACTATTTTTGGCCCTTCACTACTCGATTTTTTTAAGGGGCTGTTTGGTTGGTTTTCTAAAAATCAAGAAAAGGAAAAGGGTACATGGAAATCAATAAAATATTATTTTCATCCATTTACATCCCTAAAACTCACTACAACATCCAATAAAATATTATTTTCATCCCACAACTCATCTCATATCATCTCCTAAAAATAAGCCAAACACAAGAAATAGGTCACATCATCCAACTCATCTTATCTCCATCATATCTCTCATCTTTAAAAATCACTCACATCATCCAATAATATGGTGACAACTCATCTCATCTCATTAACATTTCATTTCCACCAATTTCCTCTAAAAAAGCTAGGAAATCGATTTCCTTAAGTGTGGGTCACATCATCCAATAATATAATGACAACTCATCTCATCTCATCTATTTTCTTATTTTTATGAATGAACCAAACACAAGAAAAGAACCTATTACAGGAAATATTTTACTTATAATTTATTTTCTTATTTTTTTAGCCAACCAAACAACCTCAAAACAAATTTTCTTAAAAAATCACCCACATCATCCAATAATAATGTGACAACTCATCTCCCATTCTTTGATTTCCTTCTTTTTTTAGCCAACCAAACAGTCTCAAAACAATTTTTCTTAGAAATAGATTTACTATTCTTTGATTTTCCTCTTTTTTTAGGCAAACAAACAACCCCTTACAGTAAATATGATTTTTTTGGCTAGCTTAACATTGATATTATGGAATAATTATTGACTGATGTAACTATGATTCCTATGGGATGATAAACATAATGTGATTGGCTAATTTTAAAGCTATATGTCTATCAAGACATTATCTGTTTATGCATTGTGCCTCTCCAGATCAAGGCACGTAATAAAGCATGTTTTAACAACCATAATGGAAATTCTACTGGATAGTTTAATAGTTGGAACTATGATGCTCATTGCTCAATAAAGAGTGATGCATAATAGGTGGGAAATGAGACCTATTGGAACTTTGAAAGAGTTTATCATATAAAATGAGATTTAATTGAGAATCACTGGGTTCTAATTCACTAATAAATAGTAATGTACTTGTGGGTCTTAGGGCTAATGATCAGTAATACCAGCTTTTAGCCCAACAGATGATTTTTTCAGGGTAAAATCTTAAAATCATGTTTAGTGACGGATTAAGGGAAAATGGTGGTAGGAAATTGTAGGATAATAGCATGGTTGATATTTCCTTAACAATTCCACAGTTAAGACCTAAGGATTTCACAAGTTAACTCCCCAAGAACGGTTAGCTAAATTTTCTAAAGTCTCTAACCATTTACACTAAAACTCCGAAGTTGTAGTGAAAGTTGAGGGTTATATTTTATATTATAATATGCACCCGTAGGTTGAGTGCCCTCTTTTTATGGGCCAAAATTTAGACCCACGTAGTGGTGTCAAAATTTAAATAAATTTGTTTTAAATTTGTGACCGGTGTGATTTGAACCTAAGTTCCTTTGACCATCTTAAAGTCCTTACCACTGCGTCAAAAGTCTGAAGTTGTGGTGATGGCTAAGGTTATATTTTTATATTCTAACATGTCCTGTAATGTTGAACATACTTTTTATGGGTCGAATCCTTGACTCACGCAGGGGTGTCAAGTATTTAAAAATATACTTTAAATTCGTGGTGGGATTTGAACCCGGGTTACTCTGATACCATCTTAAAGTCTAACTATTACGCCAAAACTCCAAAGTTGCGGTGAGGGTTAAAGATTATATTTTTATATTCTAATAGTTTTAATTGTCATTTTTGAGTTATAGCAAGTCTCATTTAATCACTGTTTTAAAAAACCTCCGCCTAGTCCGCTTAGACGTACGCCTAGGCCTAGGCGGTAGGTACCTAGGCCGCCTAACTAGCGCCTAGCGTCTAGGCGGTATTTAGGCTGCCCACCTAGATATTACGAGCGTTTAGGTGAGCATTGTCTGCTTACGTGGATTGCACCCTGTAGGCCTTGATTATGATTTTATGTGTCGTAGCCTACACGTCCTCCAAACTCCATTAACCTTTGCACCCTGTAGGCCTTGATTATGATTTTATGTGTCGTAGCCTACACGTCCTCCAAACTCCATTAACCTTCAAATATGAACACCTCTACTACCTCCTCCGACCTTCAGCAAAACCTCATCGACCACCACTTAAATGAAGAAAGAAAAAAACGTCCATAAACCGCTTAGGCGCCCGCCTAGGCGACTAAGCGTTGGGCGCCAAGTCCGACGCCTAGAAGCGCCCAACGTTTAATGTAACATTGCATTTAATTATATTTTTATATTGAAATAATTTTAATGTCATTTATGAGTTATTGCAAGTCTTGTTTAATTCAAAACAAGAAAGCAATGATGCGTATTCCCTACTAACATGCTATCTTTAGCTAGAATTTCCAAAAGAAGATGCCATTAGGAATATCAAAAATTCGCATACCTGAAGCTGAAACAACAAAAAATACTTCTGAAGTAACAAAAAGAATCAATGTTTGGAGTAGGAGATTCAAAGTCAAAAAAGAGGATTCCTCACTTCTTTCTCTCATTGAAGACCATGCTCGGGAATTTCATCTTACATGGCTCCTAAGTGATAAAAGAATGCATATGTTTAGGCCAAATTCATTCTATCTGTAAAAATGATTAAGGATACTTAACTCTTTGAAGAATATTTCATCAGTGTAAGGCCAAATTTGTTCCAGTTTGAACTTTCAATCCTGGTAGGAAAAGAGAATAACAAAATGGACACGGGAGAGAATTATGCAGTACTTTGAAGAATATAACGGTGAAATAAGGTGAAAGAACGGGAAATAAACAGCGGTACCTTACATAGATCTAGAACTAGTTTTTGATTTGTTCTCCTGCAATTTAAATCTCAGAATAAATTCTTAGCTTCTAGCAGTTTTTTAATGGCTTTCAAGGATCATTAATCCATGGAGTCCTTTTGCAGGTTTGAATAATTAAGGAAGTAAAGCAGAAACATAAGGTGATTCCATGTACTAATTTGGCTTGTTTGTGTTTGAGATGTACGAATTCTCTGTAGCAAATTATAACATTACATCTCTTGTTCTCGGCCCCTTTTATATATAGGAGAATATGGAAATTTGCTTCTTGCTTGATGGCCTTAAACTACATGACAAGAAATGTTAGGTTTACTTATGCACAAACTATTAGTTAAGTTTACATGAGGAGGTCTACTTCCGCTCAGTTACCTTTAGAATTTGATAAAGATTGGGCTATGTCTCTATTCAGGAAAACCTGGTTGGTTCTTTTATTTGAGCATTTTCTCTGTAGCTCATGTTTTTTACTTTGATTCCACATAGATGACTAAGGCTTAAATGATGATGAGGAGGAAAACTGTTTAATAGGACCACTTGAGAATCAAAGGAAACAGGAAAAAGTTACTATGTACATCAAACAGGGTTTTTTGGGGTTGGACATACAATATGAGCAAGTGCATTAGCTTGATACCTTTCTTCACTTGTTCGATGTTTAGCCTTTTTCCAGTTAAATTTGCTGATTCACTGAGAAAATTACTCCATACTGCATGAGAAGGAAACAATTTCAAGCAGAAGAAGCTAAAATGAAGACTATAAGCAGGAAGTTGAAGAATATGCATATAATTGATCTTTAAACAAATCCTAAGAGATTCAATAGCTATATGTGTGTGTGTGTATAGCTAAACAATTAAAACCTTTTGCAGATCAGACTGAGGCTGTTTGTCATGTGATGTTCTGATCTAATTAAAACTTTTTGCAGACCAGACTGAGGCCGTTTATCATGTGATGTTCTGATCTCATCCTAACCCCTTAATTTTATGGACTTAGTTGTCAAGTGGTAAGGTTTGACCAAAACCCCTTGTCTCTATTCTCTTACAAGACAATCTAGTGGTTAAAGTGAATGCTAAGTTTCATCTTCTGTCCCGCTTCGTTTCTCTTCTCCTCTTCGCGTTATTTTTTTTCTTTATTTATCCATTCTCTGTTTTGACCACTGCTGAGAATGTAGCACTAATGCAATCTGGATCAAAGCCACTAATTTGTAGCTAAACGGGTCGTTGTAGCCCTTAAATGATTATGAAATTTGGACAAAGTCTATTCAGAAGGGACTTTTTCACTAACAAAATATACAGATTGATCTTACTATCCGCTTAATACCATTAAAATAACTGATCCTCACCTGATACA